ATGAAAAGTGACAAATAGTCGTGATCTAGATACAACTCATATCCATGGCCCACTCCGATGTTGTCAAGTCACTTCTCACTCACAGGAGCCTTGGTATTCTCCTGCGTTAAGTGTTTGACTACTAACCAAAAGTTTGGAAGTTTGAACCCACCAGCCACTGCATGGGATAAAGATGAGGCAAGTCTGTGTCTATAAAGATTGGCAGCTTTGGAAAACAGTAGTCTCTACTCTGTCCTACAGTGTCACTCTGCACCTTTTTATGGATTGCTCTATATGAATTCTGTCATCTTAAGACTTTAATCAGGACAGAGTGATCAGTATTAGTTGTTGAGAGGTATAAACCCATTCTTTGGCATTTCTCAAAGATAATATCTGAATATGTGAAGTTTTACACTTTGGTTACTAGAATATTGTTTGTCTTTTGCTGTAAGTAATGTTTGTAGTCTTATCTTGGCTTTTTTCTCTATATTCTTTATCTTTAGAAAGATACATTGGGCATGTTTTCAGGAGGGCCTGTTTCTTGGAAAAAGACATTGTACTGGGAATGAAAAGAGGTTCAGCAGAAGAAAGGAAGGATATCCTTCAAGGATACAAGTTGACACAATGGTTGCAGTGATGGGCTTGATCATGACACATCCTGAGGATGGCCTGGGATGGGGCAAGTTTCCAGTCTGTTGTTCATAGGGTTGCTATGATTTGTGGTCCACTCCATAGCAGCTGACAACAAGAACAACAATGCTTTATAATAATAAGAAAGTAAACATTTAGAAAATCAGTTTGAGAAACAGAGGAGACTCACTAAAATAATCAAGGTTAGAGAGGTTAGGTAAGAGGAAATGAGAGGTCATTTAAATCAGTCTTTTAGGAGAAGACCAAGGCTCAAAGAATTTTCATATAAGCTAGCTAGGTAGCCTGGCTTATGTTATTGAACTAAGTATAAATAATAATCAAAGATGTTGAACAGTGTCATTTCAAACTCACAAGGAGATACAGTTTCACAAATGTCAGCCATCATTTTTATTTTCATGTAAATAAAATTATCAAAACACCTGAAAGAAAGCAGGAATAACAGGAGAAGAAAAAAAGAGTCCTTTAGGATTCAGACAGAAGAATTTCAAGAAACAACATATGAGCTGAGGCAATGGTGATGACCTTGAGGAAAATGAAAATCTCAAGAGCACTTGATCCTGCTTATACGAAACCTACATTTGGACCAAGAAGCAGTCCTCAGAACAGAGCAAGGAAACACTGCATGGTTCAAACTCAAGAAAGGAGTGTTTCAAAGATGCATCCTGTCCCCATACCTTTTCAATTTGTATGCAGAACAGATCATATGGAAAGCAGGGCTTTATGAAGAGGAGTGTGGCATCGAGATTGGAGGAAAACTCATTAATAAGCTACTATATGCAGATAACACAACCTTGCTGAAATTGAAGAATACCTGAAGCACTTGTGCAAAAGGTCAAGGACTGTAGTCTTCAATATGAATTGAAGCTCAACATCAAGAAGACAAAGATTCTTACCACTGGGCCAATTGGCAGCGCCATATTAGATGGAGAAGAGATTGAGGTTGTTAGCAATTACAGCTTGCTTGGATCCACAATCAACACTCAGGAAATCAAAAGACGAATTGCATTGGGAAAATCTGCTGTCATGGACCTTTCCAGAATGCTGAAGAGCAACAGTGTCAGTCTAGATACAAAGGTGTGCCTAATCCAGGCAATAGTCTTCTTAGTTACTTGTTATGCTCCAGAGAGTTGGACAATGACTAAGGATGACAGAAGAATAGATGCCTTTGAGTTGTGGTGATGGAGAAGAGTCTTGAGCATACCATGGACTGCCAAGAAAACAAATAGCTCTGTCTTGGAGAGGGTGAAGCCAAGTCTTTTCTTGAGACTAGGACTTTGAAACTCCACCTCACTCACTTTGAGCACGTGGCCAGGAGAGAAGGACATCATGCTCAGAAGGGTGGACAGACAGCATAGGAGAGGAATACCTAGGATGAGATGGATTGATACAATAAATGGGACAATGGGAGTTGGTGTGTTGGAGTTAGTGAGACTGGCTCAGGAAACGGAAGGGTGCAGAGCTGCTGTACATTGCGTTATTATACACTGCAAGTGACTTAGTGGCATATAAAAACAATAGCATATTCTGAAAGGTTTGGAAGCCAGAGTGGCATGCACTTCCTAAGTAACATGCCTCCGGAAACTCTATGAACTTTGATAAATGTCGATAGTTGTAGAGGGGCTTCAAGCGTTTTGTTCATAGGGTCGCCATGAGTCATGCTCGACTCAAAGACAAACAACAACAACTTAGGATTCAGAGCACAATTTTGATAGAGGCTCATTGATGGATGAAAAGACTCTGATATAGAAAAAGAACCAGGTAGACCAGGTAGTAGGTGTGAGCCAAGCGCAGCCTCTTTTGTGAGTGAGTGGATGAGGCCCAGGACCATTCTGTTACACATACAAGTGCTGTGAATCAGAACCAACTTGATAGCACCTACTAATAACAACTTGAATTTAAAAATAATAGTAAGATCTATTTTGTGAGTATAACTTGGGTTTGAACACACAAACATGAAATCATGACTTTAAAATAAATTGTTGAAAGCTTTACTGAAACGTCTCTTAACTTCACTCCCCAGATGCTTATTATACCACTGAGACTGTCAACCACTGAGGAAGAAAAACAATCAGTAACATTTGAGCTTTTTTAGTTACACTTCTCAGTTATAGGGGCTGTTATACAGAACAAGTGGATAGAAGTTTTTGCTTCCAGAAATTGAGGCATGAAAATAAGGAAATTCTGGAGAAGGGGGTCTGCAAACATGAAGAATCAAACCTAAGTGTTTTCTTCTAGCTAATCATGTATATATGTTTTGTATTCTATTGCAGAAATTTGCTAATAAAGATAACAGCAACAATTAGAATCATCTAGAGGAAATGCCAGGAGTATGAACACAAAAATCTCTATAACAGATAGTCTTATTTTAGGGGTAAGTGTGACTTCATTTTAACTAACTAAATTCAGCATAGTGCATTGTTTCAGCTCAAGACAGATATGGAAAGAAAAGATTTGGTTGCCAATTATGTTGGGTAAAAGTTTATTTAAAAAAATGTTAACTCTTCTATAGATTTTTTTAAGTCCTCTCATGTCTTCATAACCAAGTTCACATACCAACACATAAAGGGGGATTGAGGAACCTACGTAAAGAATGTTGTTGTTAATTGCTGTCGAGAAATCAAAAAAAAAGAATTAAAAAAAGGAGGGCTTATCCTGAGAAAACTATCTGTCTCTGATCTCTTTAATTACTGTACAAATATCTGTGCTCACAATTTATCTCAAGTTGCAAATACAGAGGTTGCACACAATTTATCCATTTTTCTTCATTAACAGCAAGGAATTAATATCATGTTCTTTTCACATTAGAGGGAAAGAAGCTTTTCCCATTGATTTTAATGTTTCCTCTCACTTTCCCTGCCTTATAGACCAATTGTCAAAATTTGGGGATAGGGAGTTTATAGGCCCGTTTGAGTACAGAATAAAAGCTCTGAAACTTTTCTTGAGGATCATGTACATATATATTCACAAGTCTTTGCACCCAGTTTTGGAGGAGATAGGTTTTCCTAAAGCCTAATCATTGGTTCTAGGTTAAGAAATGTTTTAAAATATAGTTTATCTTGACACATTGGCAACCTTGCTTCATTGTAGAGTTTTCTACAAGTTCCATGTAAGATCTTGAAACAGCAACTGCCAGTCATGCAGCTGCCAATCATAGGGAATTCTATTCTAGTGGCCCAGTGAGAAGAAGCTGCACTGCATTCACACCAGATCCTTCCCATTTTCCTCCCCCTGCCTCATCAAATTATGCAACCCCATGATTAATCACCCCCATTTCTAATCTTCTTAATGCAGGGTCCTGACAGATATTTCTGGGTGATACTGAAGTCCTCCCTCCTCTTTCTTTCCTCCCCTATATCTCACTTTGATGTCTACTGAGAGAAGAGGTATTACCAGCCATACCCCAGAGAAACTTTCCTTACATTGATCAGGACTATGATGAGATTATGATGTGTATTCCCCTTTAATCATTTTACAGCTATTTGGTTTATTAGACCATAGGGGGTGATTACATAGGTTCCACATTATATCGTTACATACATGGAGTTTTAGAAGAACACAGTTCAATCCATGATTATTACCTATCTTTCCTTTTAAGAATTTCAGCTCTCTGAAGGGCAAGACCAAGTCTGTTATTTGACTACATTAGTAGTCATCTGCAGCAGCCAGATTCTACAGAGGTTTGTTTTCTGATTCTGTGGCCCTTGCGCCTGGTTTTGTTTTTAGTCAAACATTCTTCTAAGTGGGATAGCACTGGTCTGTCCATTTGCTATACAGAGGTAACTCTTGGTTGCTGTGAAGCTAAACACTTTGCCACTGATGTGTCAATTGTGATAATGGTTACCCATGGTGGACAGTGTTTGGGGGAGCTCCTCAATTAAAACAAGCTTGGAAGAAGAAGTGGCATCCACTTCTGTTAATAGCTTGCCTCTGAAAACTCTATGAACTTAGAGAAATGGTGAAAGCTATACAAGTGTTTAGGTTTTTCATTTTTAGCATTGCTATGAGTCATCTATGACTCAATGGCACTTAACAACAACTAGAGGGTAGTTTTCTCTTGTCATTATCTGATATCTGGGAAGGCTAGCCAATAAAAACATTGTCAACTTTCCTATAGGATAATTGCCCAGTGCTATTACGATGAACAGCCTGCTGTTTCAAATATAACTGACTCTTCTTTGTTAAATCTCAGTCCCTTCTGGTTAAGGAAATTTTTCCAGGTTCACCAATAGAGGAAATGCATGGTTAATCATTGTGCTGTTTTATGTTTATCTTTTGCCAATGTACCTTTTAACTAACACTCATTAGAATCCTGTAATAAGTCATATGGTTTAAATACTAATAGCATTCTCTTCTCACAGATTATCCAGATTATGATTGGCATCTTTCATGTTTTCATGTGGTATTTTGTACTGACTATCTATAGTGGACAAATTAAAGGATTCTTTGGAATATATGAGCCTATAACTTACAAGGCAGGAACTTCATTATGGGGAGTTAATGTGAGTTGAATATCATTTGTATCAAGTTAGCTATTTGGTAAATCATATTCATATCAAGTAGTTGAAGGTAGGGACCAGATTATGGTCAAAGTTTTCAGAATTCTGTAACTATTAGTTAGTTATTCAAAATCAAGTGTATCCTCAACAAATCTCATTGAGTGCTATTGCAAGAGCTTTGTGTATACAGGAGTGAACACACAATAGTAATGATAGGTTTGGATTATTCCTAGGTAGCTGAAAGACCGAGAATATCAATAACTTTTGTTTTTATGTACCATCAAGTTGGAACCAACTCATAGCTAACCTTCCAGGGGGTTTTCAGAGGTAGTGAATCACCTAGGAAGACATTGCCCGTCTTTCTCCCACGGAGCAGCTGACAGGTTTGAAGTGTGTCTTTCGATTGCCAGTGCAACTCATTACAACTAAGCCACGAGTAGTTTGTTGAGGATTTTTGTGTACCATCAGATCAGGCCTGACTCGTAGATGGTTCTGAGGGGCACTTAATCACGTGGCTGTCCTTCCTGTTGAGCAGCTGGCAGATTTGAACTGCATGCCTTTGAATTGATAGGACAGTTCCTTACCACTAAGCCACCAGATCTCCTTAATATAACTATTGTTGTTGTTGTTGTTATGTGCCGTCGAGTCGTTTCTGACTCATAGCGACCCTATGCACAACAGCCCTAAACCCTTGCTCTATCCTGTACCAACCGCACCGCCTCTGACATACCCATCCCGATTACCCCAGTCACTGAATCAATCCATCTCATAGAGGGTCTTCCCCTCCTGCGTTGTCCCTCAACCCTCCCAAGCATGGTGTCCCTCTCCAAGGAAACATGTCCAAAGTATGTCAAACAAAGCCCCAGAAACCTTGCCTCCAAGGAGTAGCTTGGTTTAATCCTCTCCAAGATAAATGTGTTTGTTT